TTCCCTCCTTTCAGATAAAACTAGCTTGTATCAAGTTGACATAAAACTAACCAGCACACCACTTACAGTTTGCTAACCATTCATTGTTTCTTTTATAGTTTGGGATTTTGGAATAAATATTCTTAAGCACCACGAGAGTAGGAGACTATTCAAGATGAGATTGACTTTATTTAGTAATTTAACAAAAATATATACTACAATAGGACTGAGGAGAGGGCTTAACTGATAAAGTACGTGCTGTGCCAGTATGAGGACCCAAGTTTTCTACTTAGCACCCATGTAAAAGTTGGGCATATTTGGGTAGTGGTGACATATGCTTTTAATCCCCTCATTCAGGAGCAAGTTGAGGCAGGCGGATGAGTGAGTTCCAAGACAGCCAGGGCTGCACAAGGAAGCCCTGTCTTGAAAAACAAAAAATAAAAGGGAAAACAAACAAAAACAGGAAAAAAAAAAAAAAGCTGAGTATAGTGGACAGCTTGTGTAACTCTAGTCCGCCCTCCCCTGGGGGAGGGGGAGGGGGAGGGGAGAGAGTGGAGAGGGGTGGGAACAGGCAGCAGGCAGATCCCAGAGTACTGGCCAGTCATTCCTGTTGGTGAGCTTCAGGTTCTATGAGAGATTCTTCCCCCAAAAGATGAGATTGGCTCATTTCACTGATTTCCAATGAATGAATAAATTGGCAAAGGAAGATCAAGACCCAGATGCACAATTTGACTCTTGGAATCCTAACATGAAGCATACACAGTGTGTATTAAAATTAAGATATATTTGACTTAAATAGGTAAAATCATTTCAATTTCAAAAGCATGCCAGCTTAGAGAATTTATTTTATTTTATTCATTTTACATACCAACCAAAGTTCCCCTTCCTCCCCCCCTTTCTCCCTCCCCCAACTTACTTCCATCCATTCCTTAGATAGGGTAAGGCCTCCCATGGGGAGTCAGTAAAGCCTGGCACATTCAGTTGAGGCAAGACCAAGTCGTCCCCCCCCCCCCCCCCCCCCCCCCCCCAAAAAAAGGGGAAGGACCCCCACCCTCAGGAATGGACAACAAAAAAACACAAAAAAAA